TTAATGCGCCCTGAGGTCCCCACAAGCCGTCGTCGACCAGCGGCAGGTCACCTTCACAGCTTAGGCGTTGAGGAATTTCAGAAGGAGCTGGGGGTTCGACTCCCCCCGATGGCATACGGTTTTTCGATCGCTTTTCTTTTCTTTCCCAGTTTCAGTCCTCGCAGCATTGAACCGAGTTAAACGTTTTCTCTGTACGCCCGAGTCAATCAGGCCTCGCTTTGAAACTAACTGTGAACCCCGGAAACAATAAACTCCATTCACCACGCTGCGGGCTCCAATCGAGGTTGAATATACACAGTTAAGTTACAGTTCGTGCAGCTCATTCCTTTATACTAGTATGCAATAATGCTAGGGACTTCAATTCCAACGACATCCACCGGCCCACGCAAACTAAACGTGAATCTTCTCCTTGAGCTTCGCGACGAGGCGCGAGCCGCGGCCTTTGCCCTTTCCATTCCCCTCCCCGGTCTCCCCGGCATTGTCCTCCGCTTCATTGTCCGCGTCCGCACCCACATGCTCCTCCCCGCCCTCGCCCCCCTCCGCGATCGTCCTCGCAGTATGCACCGCGGCGGGGCCAGCGGGGACGTGCAGCCCGTACGCCGTGAAGACCGCTGCGTCCCCAGCCGCTTCGGGGCGCGCGGGGGCAGCCTCCTCGCGTCCAAGGACGCCGTACCGGGGGTCCGAGAACGCCGCGCGCTGCGCGTCTTCGTCCGTCTGCTGGCGCAAATGCCCGATGGCGTTCAGCTCCACCTCAGACGCGCGCGCCGCCTCCGCCGGCGTCGCTTTCGCCGGTTCGTGCAGCCCGTCCGCGATGGGAAAGTACGCGACCACCTCCGGGGGAGTGACGGGCGGGATGGGCGTGAACGGCGCGCCGGCGGGGAGGCCTGGCGGGAGGAGTGCCGCGATGGCCGAGTTGTCTGAGGAGGCGTTCGATGCGAGCGACGCTGGTGTCGAGGCGAGCGGTGCATAGCCCACGGGGTCGGGGGAGTAGATGGAGGACGAAGCAGAGCCCGCGGCGCCGAATGCGTGGCTGTGGAACGAGGACGAGCGGGGCACGAATGGCGGGCGCACGGTGCTGCTGAAATCGCCCGGGGTGAGGTTGCGAGCAGGCGAGGGCGAGGGCGGTGCGATGGCGGTGTCGGAGGCAGAGTCCCCTGTGTGCACGGTTGTGCTGAGGTCCGTGGTTTCGCTGGCGGGGGACGGCATCGGTGACTCTTCGCGAATCTCGCGCTCCGGGGTGGCGGAATCAACGGCTTCACCTGACGGGGAAGCTCGGAGTTCGAACCGCGCTCATGAAGAGGAGTTAAGTGGAGCAGACGCACCACCGAAATACCCCGCGACCTGCGGAGGGATGTACGCCTTCGCCGCCTGCCCCATGCTAGCCAGCACGCTCTGCTCCGCCTCTACGGGGAGGTAAGATTCACCTCGGGCCTCGCCATACTGCGGGGGTCTTCGGGGAATGCCCAGGCATCGAAGGGTCGGGCATCTTCACCGCCCTCCCGTCCGCGTAGGCGAGCACGTCGTTCGTGTTTTCAGTCGCGGGCGTCGATGGGAGTGCCGTGGACTCGACTGTCGGGACGAGGTTCACCGCGGCCATGTGTGGAGAGTTGAAAACGAGATTCGGTTGGAGAGGTCTAGGACTCAAGGTGCAGGTGGAGAGTGAGAAAAATGAGACAGGAGAAATGCAAACACGATGACGTACTGGGGGAAAAGTGAAGACAGGGGGTGGCAGTGACTACTGCCGATCCATTAATCTCTGGCCCAAGTTCAACCGGGGCGATCAGCTCATACATCTGCAAATCAGTTTCTGACTGATAGAGGCCACCCCACGTGGTAGAGTGGCGGTGTCTCGGTAGAGCCTGATAGAGGCACCTTTCCTCTGTAGAGACACATAGAATGCATCTTCTACTATAGACACCGTGCTCTCTGGCCCTCTACCTTGCTCTACGTGCCGTCGCCTTCCATCAGCTATGCCGAAGCATGTGCTCGCGTTTCGCGTTTCAAGGTGGTTGGTAGGTTTTTTTTCAAAGTCCGCCTCCGCCTCTCTTCCTTCTCCTCACTGGCATGTCCCACAGGCAGATCCAATTTCCTCAAAACCCCCGCTGCCCGAGATAACCAGAAGGGGTCAGCGCCAGACCATGCCGACGCCCGGGCTTGACAATCATGGTTTGTGGCTCCACGTCTTTCTTACTTAGTGTTTCCTGATGTGCACGAGCAACAGATGCCCAGCAGGAGAAGGACAACGAGAAAAGATGCAAAAACAACGAAACACGCCAGTGGAACGCAGCTGCAAAGCTTTTGTCTGCCGCAGCCTCCACCGGGAGCGACAGGCTCCCACCAACACCGTTGCCAGCAGTGGCCGCTCGACCTCATGTATCCCAATTACTATGGCTGTCAAGCTCTCTGCCCTACGTACATACTCCGGCTCGACCAGACCTGCGGAATGACGGGTTCGTCGCAATGGCAGCCCAGATGTCGCCGCAAGACCTCTCCCGTCTCTTTTCTTGTCAGTCTATCCTTCATCATCTCGCTACTGGACAGGAACTGACTGAATTCCTTAGTTAACACGGACTCGGCGGACCTGGGTACAAGCAATAGCGGCGCTGCTGCTGAGTACCCCCGCATCTGAAGGTGGCTCTGGTGTGTATTCATTCCGTCCTTCTTCCTGTTATTGACCTCCTTTAACCTTTAACTAGAACGAAGAGAACAAGCGGCCGTGGAATGACGAACTAGGCCCCGACCAAGAAGACCAAGAAGAAGACATCCATCGGAACGCCCAGAGCTCGCTCGATGTAAGTCATTGTATCTGAGTGTGATGCAAGTTCTGATTCGATGGCCGTAGGTTACGATGTATGAGGTGGATGTCCAGAGGAAGAAGCGTAAGCGTAGGGCTCCATAGGTACGTTCCGCATGCGGCCTTGGATCAATACTAACCGGAGACTTACCGAGACACACTCAGACTCGGATGATCACCCTCCGAGACGTCGTCAGGCCAGCGCCGGCGATTCTCCCGCACATCCCAAGCTAAAACCGAGGAAGAAGCACGCCAACCACCGACCAAATACCGACTGAGACGCTCGCCCTCTTGATGGACGCAGTAACGTTCCTCGCTCCTCTCATTTTGATTTTATTCTGACAACTATCCCAGGTTGTTTGCGGCATCGACAAGTGAAAAACCGGTGAATAAGACTCCCGGAGCGCCCCATTTGAGGCCAAGACCTATGCGCCCGTACATTGAGAATCGATGGTATTCCTCAAGATGTGAATCCTCGAATACGGAGTGGATGCGTACCCGGTTAATTTGGCAAATGAGCGCTTGAGGGGAATTCTCAGCAAAGCTCGGTACGCGATCCCTCCCATCCATGCTATAGCATGTATCCTCTCTGACTGGCACATTTTTTAGTATGCTGGTACTCCGGTCGAGCAGGCAGAGTCGAGGCCGTCACATGTTTCCCTTGCACATGTTCACGATGGCATGCAAGTAGCACGAGCTGTATTCTAGCTACCCAAATAAATAAATATATTCTGCCCATTCCCTGTTGAGCCACCTCCGAAAGCGGCGTATGAGGGATAGACGTCCAGTTCCCCCGTAGTACTGATCTCTACCAAAGAAACACGTGTCTACATAGCTCTATGTGGCTCTATGGCTCTACTGCCCTACCACTCAATCTGTCTATGTGCCTCTTTGATAGAGGGGACATGCCTACTACTCCACTGCTCTATGGGGCTCTCTGTAGCGCCCTGTAGGCATGTGGATTTCCCAGATGTAAGTAGAGCGGACGCGCCCCAGCGCGCTACGGGGTTCTGAATTTCCGTGGGGTCTAGCGGGGGTTCAGGACATGTTTCAACAGAAACGTGGGTAGTGCAGGTCGTACACCCGACGCTATTCAGTGAGGCGTAGGTTCGACTCCTACCGATCGTGTTTAGGACAGCCCTCTTCTTGCCTTTCCTTATTATCTCAGCAGCGCGGTCGCCTCTAACAGGCAGCCTGAGGCAAGGCGCTGAATCGATGTGCTATAATAGACGAGCCATTGGGGCCACCTGATGGCTTTTCGCCAGCGCGCAAACGAACGGCTCCACCTCCAAAATATGATATGACGTCAACGGCTTGTGGAGCCATTCGCCTGCTATTTTTGCGCGCGGCCCAAATGCCTCTGCGCAAACGGGTTAATATGTACTAAAGGGGTTAAAACCAACCATCGTATATCAGTGGCAGATTCCCTTCACGCCGTAGGTTGTCTGACAATTAGAACGTCTGCACGAAGGAGGCGTAGGTTCGACTCCTACCGATGGTATAACTAGAGTCATTGACATTTTTGGTTTAGTTGGCCGTGCGGTCGCCCACTCAAGGTTCTAACTCGTTAGCCCATAATCTGCACTAAGAGGGTTGAAAGCAGCCATCGTATATTAGTGGCAGATTCCCTTCACGCTGCGGCGTTAGTACCGGGAAGTCTGCATGAAGGAGGCGTAGGTTCGACTCCTACCGATGGCATAGTTGACCTTTATGCTGGGGTTTTTTCCTTGTTTTGTCGGCGGTGCGCTCGCCCACTCAAGGTTCTAACCCGCTCGCCCATAATCTGCACTAAGAGCTCTGAAACCAGCCATCGTATATCAGTGGCAGATTCCCTTCACGCTGTGGCGATAGTACCGGGAAGTCTGCATGAAGGAGGCGTAGGTTCGACTCCTACCGATGGCATATTTGGCCTTGATGGGAGGTTTTTTCCTTGTTTTGTCGGCGGTGCGGTCGCCCACTCAAGGTTCTAACTCGCTAGCCCATTATCTGCACTAAGAGGGTTGAAACCAGCCATCGTATATCAGTGGCAGATTCCCTTCACGCTGTGGCGATAGTAGCGGGAAGTCTGCATGAAGGAGGCGTAGGTTCGACTCCTACCGATGGCATATTGACCTTGATGGGTTTTTCCTGTTTTGTCGGCGGTGCGGTCGCCCACTAAAGGTTCTAACCCGCTCGCCCATAATCTGCACTAAGAGGGTTGAAACCAGTCATCGTATATCAGTGGTAGATTCCCTTCACGCTGTGTGGCGATAGTACCGGGAAGTCTGCACGAAGGAGGCGTAGGTTCGATTCCTACCGATGGTTTCAGCCAAATTGGTTTGCTTTTTAAATTTTCTCTGAGGTGGCGCTCGACTGTTGAACCCTGACTGTCAACTGAGGATCGAGGTGCAAGACCGCGCATACAAGTTCAACAAACGAGGCACGAAGTATGTTTTGTTGACGCGCCACTCGCCCGACTGGCATACCTCCATGACTCACCCTATTGACCCAACCTTACCTTCCTGTCTTTGATCCTAGCTTAATTGTACAGAAAGAGCTGGGGTTCGCCTCCCCCGGACACGGTGTAGGTTTTCAAGTTCACGCGTTTTGTGGGACAGTTACTGTAGTTCAATTGCACTGCACGGATTTCACTCACGTATTCAGGGCCAAATCACTGGGTCTCAGCCGTCGTCGACCAGTGGCAGGTCACCTCCAACAACTGAGTGGTTCATCTCGGGTTCTAAAATTTAAACCTGGAGGAGCTGGGGGGTTCGACTCCCCCTGACGGTATTTATTCGCATCGGATAGTTTTTTGACTCAATGTGATTCATCTAGTCCCACGCAAGCCAGCGCGGATAATGCGACACAACCTACACTGGGCAGTATTCAACCAAGCTCCTCATCAGTGCCCCATCAACGCTGCACCATCCTTCACTGAGCGCGTCGTGCTAACTGCTCACAATAAGATCAACGCGACTCCAGGTACCTACAAGCCGTCGTCGACCAGTGGTAGGTCGCCTTCACACAGTTAGGAAGCTTGCTACTGTACAAGAAGGAGCCGGGGGTTCGACTCCCTCCGACGGCAATTGATTCGATCTTTTTAGGTCGAATTTCAACGAGGCGTCTACTCGCCTACGACAGTCAACCTATTCAACATATTCAGCCACATTAACCCCATCACTGCACGCATCTCGCATCTCGCTAATTTTGACAATTAATTAATGTGTCCATATACCCACAAGCCGTCGTCGACCAATGGTTGGTTCCTTTCACACATTCGAGGAGTTCCTCCACAGGTGTAAGAAGGAGTTAGGGCTCGACTCCCACCGACGGCTTCTTTCGCTCATTAGCTTACGACGTTTATAATTTTTACGAACGACTTTCTCTAGAATCTGATTCAGACCTGATTCAGACCTTCTTCGTACGAACTCTGGACCAGCAGAAACTCAGCACCCTGACGGCGCGGATTACTGCTCATGAACTCGTGAAACACGAATTCCAAGGACTGCATTTTAGACGGTCCAAGCCGTCGTCGACCAGCGGCAGGTCACCTCTGTGTCTGTATCGGGATAACAGGGGTTCGAGTCCCCTCGACGACATGTGCCACCGTTGTGAATCTTTTTCTCCCCTGCTAGCCGACGCGCACATGGACAGTGCCAATCCTCTCGCATACGACGCTTGGCCACAGCTTCCTGCTGAAATTAATCTCGACGCTTTCGCCTAAACCCAGGATGGCCTGTCCCACTACCTCAGGTAAAATTGAGAAGGTACAAGCCGTCGTCGACCAGTGGCAGGTCCCCTCCCATACATGTTCGGGCCATATCCATATATATGTTTGGAGGAACCGGGGGTTCGATTCCCGCCGACGGCATTGGATGGCGCGTTTTTCGTTTTTGTCGGCCCACCGTACGCCGGTCGCCCTAAATTGTTCACGGTTAAGCAGGCACAATTTAGAGGATATAAGCCGTTGTCGACCAGCGGCAGCTCACCTTCACGCATTACAAGAAAAGAATCGTATCAGAAGGAGCTGGGGGTTCGACTCCCCTTGACGGCATGTGGCAGTACTCCGAAGTTTTTTTAACTAGTAGATCCCCGTCAACTATCTCTCAATCCATCCCGAGCTACCCGAAGGAACACAGATAATGAGCCATGAATATACACATACGAGGTGACTGCATCCGAGTCCAATATCATTCCCTCAAGCCTTAGTTGTACACAGCCCACCCACCCCAATTAGAGAGCTTGCGCAAAAGCCGCACGAGCCGCACGCGGCTTTTGTGCATTGCGCAAAGCCGCGGGTCTTTCTTTGCTGTTTTTAATTCTTGTCTTGCTAAATACCATTCAATGCCCCTTAAATCCCATAATCCACTCCTGAGAGTGCTATTTGTTGGATGTGCAACTGTGGGAGGCCGCATTTATCACGCATCACAAAGGCATCACTCGAGCTCCACTTTCTTTTCCCACACTCTCATGTCTGCCACGCAGCAGAGGCAATGCCGAGGATGTTCCCTCTCCCCACAGCACCTCTCCTTTGCCTCAGGTAAGCTTAAATTGATTTACACCTCTCACATTTCAAATTTGCCGTGCGGCTGGAGGCCGCACGGGGTCTCTGGGGCCGGAGAGGAGCCAACGGGGCTCGCAGCGAGGTGGGGGAAAGCGGAAAAGGACCCAATGATGACTAATCCTACGACATCCGAGGCTAACAACTACAAACTAGCCTGGAAACTGCCAACCCCGCCACACGGCTTTGCGCAATGCAAAAATGCCGCATGCGGCTCGTGCGGCTTTTGCGCAAGCTCTCTATTTATTTAATTCGCGCATTTCCTCAGGCGCAATTCAGAGCTTTCGAGCCGTCGTAGACCAGTGGCAGGTCACCTCCAACAACTAGAAGTTCACCATCACCTCATATAAAACCGGAGGAACCGGGGGTTCGATTCCCCACGACGGCGTGTTGTCTTTCCCACACTTTTTTTGTCGGGAGTAAATCGCCGCATTGAATTCGAATTCGAAGCAGCTGTATGCCTTTCGCCAACAAAATGAACAGCGGTAACGCGGTTTAGCGACCAAGGAATGCATTTATTCAAGTTGCACCTCAACCACGCGCACTCATGCGCCTGACGAATTACTCGCCCGTTTCAAATTTCTCGCATTTACCCAGGTACAATTCAGAGCGTCCGAGCCGTCGTTGACCAGGGGCTCCCCTCCGCCGCTTGCAAAGTGTATCGAGCATGAACTTGAGGAACCGGGGGGTTCGATTCCCTCCGGCAGCATGCCCAAGGTCTCTCCGCCACATTTTTCTTTCCAGGAGTAAATCACCGCTTCTGAATCGTATCACCTCCCCCGAAAGAACTAATGGCGGTAACACGATGTAGCTATGAAGGAATGCATTCAAGTTGCAGCTCAATACCACCTAAACCAGCGCGCGCTTTAACTCGTTTGTTGTACCGCTTCAAAGTACTCGCATTTCCCCAGGCGCAATTCAGAGCGCCCAAGCCGTCTTCGACCAGTGGCACGTCACCTCCGCGAATTGCTGCCAGGCACAAATACACTCGAGGAACCGGCATGCTTCCCCTTTGACTCCTTTTTGCCTTTTTCGGGAGTACATGAATCGCCGCGTCGAATTAGAATCACCTCCGCTGAGAGAACGAACAAGATAGAACTTGGTCTTGAGGGGCCACTGCTCCGCATGGCATTCACGGCGGTGGCCGTTTCGATTTACCGTGAGAAATAGAGGCATGAAAAACCTATATGGGGTCCTCCGGATTTTACCCCCGAATTTTACCCAGATGTAAAATTGAGCACACTTTTTCTGGCTCGAAATGGAACCATTTTTCCGGGTGAAAAATTGAGTCTGGCGGGTGGGAATTTTTGTTGGGCGGAGGGGGGAATTTTCCTTGGAGAAAAATGGTTCCATTTCCAACCGGAAAAGGCGTGCCCAATTTTACATTGGGTAAAATTCTAGGTAAAATCAGGGGCAAAACCCGGAGGACCCCATATAGGTTTTTCTTGCCCCCTTTACTCGGGGTAAATCAAAACGGCCACCGCAGTGATTACGAGTTCTTGGAGGGGAGTCCGTAGTACTAGGGCCCTGGATATAATTTCCAGTGATTCAAAACGTGTATTGAATACTGTTTGATAAACAGGCCGTTTATAAACCACTCGCCACACCGCTCTTCGAGTAGCTTAGCCAAAGATCTCTCATCTTCATCAGGTTTGTAAGTGTCTCTACCTCATTTCTTGGGTCCAATAATTGTGGAGGGAAGAAAATTTGATATCCCAGTTCTCGCCGTCCCAATGCGACATGCACGATGATTCAGCTACTTAGGACTTATAGATAAGAGATTTGTATAACTACAAGCCTGCCTCACCAATACTATCATTGAACCACCTCTGCAGAACGACCCACCTCGGCATAAATTGGATCCGGTGACCTCAGTTTGAACCCAATGGGCCCAAAATAAAATTGGGAGATGGATATAGGGTACAGTTTGGTCCGAGTCCAGCTCTAGAGCATCAGGGCAGCATTGAAGCCCAGCAGAAAATCGATAGTCGAATTTTGCACGGTTTGATCAATTTTGATTGCCCGCAAATTCTCAATCATAGGTAAAAGTAGGTCACTGTCTCGGCAGCCTCGCTGTGACCTCAATTTTGCCTCAAAAATTAAGATGTCTCAGATTCGACATCTTTGTATGTTAGCCACTGTGCACCATGCAATTCGCAGCAATTGCCGACTCTCCGGCAAGACGTGCATACACCTAGGACCCATCAAAATCTTTCTGCAGAGGTGGCCAAAGATAGTATATTTAGTCTGTTCTTTAGTTGCAAACCCCCCATCATTAGATCTTCCCATACAGGCGGGTACCGAGCTGACTTCCAGATGCGGATTCATGAAGTAAGTCACATATTGATAATCACTAGTGTCACATCAAATATTCCTTCATTCAAAGCGGCCTTGACGACCAAACTCGGAACGGCCACCCATGGCATCCACCCCACAGTGGGCACCCAGCAAGACCCCAGACGAATGGGGTGCCGAACCTTCAGCTCGGGACCTCGTCGTTCCCTCGTATCGGCTCCCTAAGGAGACCGTAGACGGCTTCTGGAAACGAGTGGCGCAGCTAACTGCGCGTACTCAGTTCAAACAGGAGCGTATAGCGTCCACGGAGCTGCGGGATTGGAATACCAGGCATCTAATGGTGAGCACTTGGCTCGTTATAGGTGAGCGGACTCTCTGACACGCACACATACGGAGCTAGCCCTGCAACAACTGTCTCCACAGCAAAAAGAAGCATATTTGCTCTGTAGACTGACATCATTTCAGCTGTCGTACCTGTAGGACGCTGAGGATAAACTGCGACAGAAAAGCGCAGTTTATATTCGACGCAACCAAGGAGCATTTCTTTAGCTCATTCGACCAATTCATCGCCGTCTACATGTGCAAGCAGCCCGGGAAAATGAGGAATGCTAAGATGACTGAAAACAGAAAACGCAAGCGGAATATGAGCTCGCATGCGGAGACCTCGAAAGGCCAGTCGCCAGGCATCCTGCTTCGGCACTCCTAACGTACCAAATCAAGGGATGACCACCGTTTTTCTGACTGATGGGGCGGTCAACATGTGCCGCGAGTGTCTAAGGGCATTTGAGTACGATCCGCCCCTCGATCAGTTTGCATTCAGTCCTGAACATCCGCAAGAAGACGGCGACAGACTCCAGAAACGTAAAGGTGCACACCCCGGTACCACTGATGGACCGTGACTCCATGACTCACTCTCGTATCCGCCGCAGCTGCTGTGGAGAACCACCAGAACGAGGCCGCATACAGGTGTACTGCACCAACCTGCGAGTGGTAGGTCTGCGTACATCCACATCGTCGATCGCATACCAACCTGAGAACAGGCCAATGCACATAGCACTTCGACACTCGGCCTCCTGAAATAACGGTCGACCGGCTTGCTGATACGCCGGAGAGCCCGAAAGAGTCATAATTGCGCAGAAGTTGAGGAAGGAATCCACTGCGTCATGGCCAAAAACGACGCGAGTTGGGCGGGGACGGGATGCCAAAATTTTAGACTCATAATTAACGCCGGTGTAACTACGAAGAATTGCGGCACCGCACGCGTTCGAGTGTCGTTTTCTTTCTTCGTCAAATTTCCTCATAATCACTTCAAATAAATTGCCAACCACTCCTGAGACTAGTTACTCAATGTTGAGCTGATTCCAAGTCTAAACCACTCCAACCCCGCGCACCAACTCGTTTTGCACCGCTTCACATTCCGCGCATTTACCCAGGCGCAATTCAGAGCGTCCAAGCCATCGTCGACCAGTGGCAGGTCACCTCCGTGAGTTGTGAGACCCAAATACACTGGAGGAACCGGGGTTCGACTCCCGTGACGGCATAACGCGGTCTTCCGCAACTTTTTATTTCATTTACTTGTAGTCCCCGTCGAGGATCTTTCAATCCATCGCGAGCTATCCTACCGAACGCAGATAATGGGCCATAAATATCCACATACGAAATCGTTGCATATCATTTCCTTTCAAACCCGCGCACGATAAATTGATTTTTTTTGTTCGCCACCTGCCTCCCAAATTTCGCGCATTTGCCCAGGCCCAATTCAAAGCGTGCAAGCCGTCGTCGACCAGCGGCAGGTCACCTCCGCTGTTTAAGGAATGATGTCTGTGAACGGGAGGAACCGGGGGTTCGATTCCCTCCGGCGGCATGCTTCGCCTTTGGCACATTTTTCTTTTATAGCCGCGGCGAAATCGAATCGCCTCCGCCGAGAGAACTCACTCGATGGAATGCGTCCGAGTTGCCGCTTAATACAACCCAAACCCCCACGCGGATTTACTTCTGGCTGCACCGCTTCAAAGTACTCGCATTTCCCGACGCACAATTGAGAGCTTTCAAGCCGTCGTCGACCAGCGGCAGGTCACCTCCGTGAGTTGCGAGACCCACCATGACAAATACACTGGAGGAGCGGGGGTTCGATTCCACCCGACCGTATATATGTACATGCTTTCTCTCCGAAGCATTTTTCTTTTCAGTCGTAACTCACGGCATCGAATTCGAAAGTCGAAACAACTACTGGTGTGCCTCCTCACCAACAGAATGCATTTCATACCGCGTGACCGCCGCTCATTCAAGTTGTCGCTCAATACCAAAAACCCGCGCGCACAATGAATTACTAATTTGCCCGCTTCAAATTCCTCGCATTTATCCAGGCCCAATTCAGAGCGTGCAAGCCGTCGTCGACCAGTGGCAGGTCACCTTCACGCATTTCCAGATAGAATTTGCGTCAGAAGGAGCTCGGGGGTTCGACTCCCCCCGACGGCATACACATGCTTTCTCTCCGAAGCATTTTTCTTTTCAGTCGTAACTGACCGCGTCGAATTCGAAATTTGAATCAAATATGTAATTTGTGTCTCCGCTGAAAGAATGCATTTCATACCGCGTTGTCGCCGTTCTTTTCAGTTGCATCTCGATCTCAATACAACCCAAACCCCCGCGCGCATTTAATTCTGGCTGCACCGCTTCAAAGTACTCGCATTTAATCAGGAATAATTTCCAGCATTAAAGCCGTCGTCGACCAGTGGCAGGTCACCTCCAACAGTGCGTCGATATAAAACTGGAGGAACCGGGGGTTCGATTCCTCCCGACGGCATGGTCCCTCTTCGTTACATTTTTCTTTTTAGGAGGAAATCCCCGTGTCGAAATCGTATCAACTCCTAGTGTCTCCTCCGCCGACAGAACGAACGGAACGAACGCGATGTGACTACGAAGGAATGCACTGCACCTGAATATTAACCCCGCCCCTCTTATAATAATTCCACTAAATTGAATGGATTCGTTCATCATGCACGGCACCCGTCCAAATTCCTCGCATTTCCCCAGGCGCAATTCAGAGGATACAAGCCGTCGTCGACCAGTGGCAGGTCCCCTCCGCCGCTTGTCAGTCAACCTCCAGCGTAAACGGGAGGAACCGGGGGTTCGATTCCCCCCGACGGCATTCTGCTCGTAATGTCCACCTTTTTCTTCGTCCGAAAAGTCTCTCTGTACCGCACACAAATGCAAAGTCTAACCAAAATAAAATTGCACCGGAGATTAATGTTACAGTACACCGTTCGATAGTCGATATTCGATACAAATTTTATTCATGTCTCGTGTGCGCTACACCCGAGCTGCAGCGCCGACGCGTACGCGCTCAGGCAGACGCGTGCCCGTGCCCGACGTGCATCTTCTCCTTCAGGCGCTGCATCAGCTTCGGCTTCTTCGTTTTCCTCTTCCCACCTGCGCCGGTATCGTTTGCGTCTGCCCCGTCGGCGTCGGCGTCAGCGTCGTCAGAAGAGGTGGAGTTCGCGTCGGGCGTGTCGGAGGAGGCGTTCGGGTCGCCGGAGCGCATGACCTCGGGCGGCGTGTCCGCGGGCCACAGGTCCTTCGGGTCGGACGAGTTGAGCGCCGCGGAGCCCAGCACGTTCGGTGCACCCGCATTCACAGCGGGGGAATAGGTGCCGGTGGCGGCCGAGTTCTGCGGTGCGTGCGGGCCCTCGCTCTGGCTCGTCGAGCTGAACGACGCGGGCTCGGCCGCGGCGGGGGAGAGCGGGGAGGGCGTCTCCACGGGCGCACCGCCGATGGAGGACGGCGTCTGCACGAGCGCGCTCTCGCTCGACGCGGCGTACCCGCTGTCCAGGCTCGGCGGCTGGCTGAGACTCGACGTCGACCCGTACGTGCCCGAGTGTTCAGCGGCGAGCGCGAGGTTCGTGGACGCCTGCGGCGTGAGGCTCGGCGGGGACGCCACGAACGCTACCTCCGCACCGTCCGCGACGCCGGGGTGCGAGGGGAGCAGGCCTGAGGCTGCGCGCACGGCGGGGGAGGGCGGGGCGACGGCGCCGATAGAGTGCCCCGTGTGCACGGCGGTGCTGACGTCCGTGTCCTCGCGGGCGGGCGTAGCCAAGTCGGTCGTGGAGTACGGCTCCGGTGCAGACGCGGTGTATGGAACCGAGGTGCCGTGCCCGACGTCGACCTGCGCATCGCCACGCGCGGGCGCAGACACGTCGACGGTGGAGTACGGCTCGGGCGCGGATTCGGTGTAGGGCACGGACGTGCCGTGCCCAACGTCGACGGCGGTGCTGGACTGGGTGTTGGAGGTGTGCAAATCCGACGTGGAGTACGGCTCGGGCGCGGATTCGGTGTAGGGCACAGACGCGCCGTGTCCGATGTCGACGGCGGTGCTGCTCTCCGTGTCGCGGCGCGAGAGGGATGCGTCTGACGGGGGTAACGGGGGGAGCGAGGACTCCACGGCGGAGTCTGTCGGCGCGGGAGTCGAGTCAGCTGCATAGAAAAAACAATGAGAACCACACTCGAGCGAGACAAGAGTTTGTAGAACACGCACGGAAGTACGCCGCAACGCCCTGTGGGAGGTACGCCTTCGCGCCCGACAGCGCGCGCGCCACGTCCGCCTGCGCGGGGAGGTACGCCTTGGCAGTCTCCAGAAGGCTCTCCTGCGCCTGCTTCATGTCCGTAGCGTCCCCAGGGCGATGTTCGTCGGCGAATGCGTTGGGGAAGGCGCCGGGGACGTCGGGGCCGGGCGTGCCAACCGGTGTGCGGGTGACGTGCGCGCCCAGGACGCCGTTCGTGCTGTCAGCCCAGTCGCCCGCGGGTGTCTGCGGGAGCGCGTCCGAGGGGATCACCGGGACGAGGTTCGGGTGCATCGTGGTTGCCATCGTGCAAGAGTTTGGAATTATTTAGAGAGTAGTTGAGGACTCGTCGAAGAGTGGGGGTCGTAGATAGTGGAGACGCACGGCAGGCGCGCGCTTTTTATACGCGGGCGGTGGAGTGTAAGCCATGACGTGGGGCGATGATGAGCAGGTGGAGGACGCCGCAGCGAAACACGCGCAAGCACGCGTCATCCGAGGTTTCGAATCTCGCGGAGGCCATTATTCTTCTTCGTTTTGCCTCTGGCGTCGCAGTACTCCCCGCGTGGCCAAGCTCATTCCTAAAGTCTGGAGTTAATTGCAAGACCGTAATATTGATCGGTAGCCATACCGGTGCCGCGACTGGCGCATCCTGCGGCAAGACATCGCATGTGCAAGGAATGTCTTGCAAAAGCTCGACACACCGCTAGAGCGAAGGCTGACGAAGGAGGTCGACTATTGCACTGTAGGAGAAACATAACTCAAGTCGGCAAGGGACTAGGGAACTGAATGTGGTGCGACGACGCACCCGAGCTTATGTGGAGAGCACCCCATCTGCGCAGAGGCCTTTAGAGCCACGGAGGGGCAGTTGCGGGCCATCGTCGGCTCAAGATCAACGAGGATCGATACTAGCTTGCTCGCGATTCGGTGCCAGAATAGCGGTTGGCGGCAGGAGCTTGGACTCGAAGCATCTTGTTTGATCAGGCCATCACGCTCTTTACGCAGCTAGTGGAATGACCAGGAGGCATTAGCTCGCCCGGGGTGCTTTGAGGAGGACGGATATAGACTTTGGAAACGTTAGCGCACTTGCACGAGGGATTCAGATGATAACGCGCACCTGCATCGTGCATACCGCCTCGAGGTTCTAGCGCAACGTAAGATATCTATACTAGACTCCAGCGAAACGTAGACCCGGACTCCGCGGGCCCCTGGTAGATGGGAAGCTTCTCGGGACCGTAATACGCATGAGCAGGGAAAGAGGCGCGGGACCGAGGCTAGCGGAGGACTTGGCTTTGGAATCGGGGAGTAGAAGTCATAGTGAGGCGCTGGCCTTGAAAGACGCGTGAGGGAATTAACGGTCGCCAGCATGAAGTTCTGTTCTAAGGCCTCGGAAAGCACGCCGTCGCGAGTCAGTAGCGCAGTGCCACAGTCGTGGAGAGGTACACCTGGGACAAAGAAGGAGAGAGGAGGCAGACGTGTGAATATAGTGTGAGAATCTTGCCAATTCTCCAGAGGTTTCGCGTTCTGGGGAATTAAGAGCGAATCGTGGTGGTGGTTTGTTGCGAAGGGCGAAGATGGTCCTGTTTGGCCCCGCACGGATCACGGTCCGAAAGCCGGCAGCCTGCGGCAAATTCAAAATTGGCACTCAGTTCAGAAGGAGCCTTATCCGGGCTCTGTCAGCGGGAGATAAGCCGCCGTGGACCAAGCCAGGTCGACCTCTTGCAGTCAGCATTCTATTGACGTTGAACGCACTAGGCGGAGGTTCGAATCCTCCCGGTGGCATATTATGGACCATGGTTGCCGAGAACTTTTTTTGTGGGATAATCGATAGTTCCTGGTTCAGGTGGCATCAATGGGGCGTTCGAACCCTAATCAGAAAGATTCTAATGCAGTCTTAAGCTCTCCTTTATTCCAGAGACGGACGCGTCCTCGCTAGTTTATTTTACTCAGATCCACTCCCTTAATCTGGGTGGGAGGCACGATAGTTTATCCGTCATCTCCTGAAGGGAATAAGCCGCCGTGGACCAAGGCGGGTCGCCCGCTTGCGGTACTCGTGTTCGGGGGTTCGAAACCTCCTAGCGGTATGAGTCTTCATCTTGCGTTTTTTGGCGGCGTTTCAGGTGTCAGCGTTCCGCTGAGGAGTCTCAATTCAACGTCCGATGGGTGCTCAGGATAACGCATTGAGGTAGTATTATTTATTCTCCCCACGGGGACGCTGATTTATTGGTGCTCTCACGAGGAGAAATAAGCCGCCGTCGACCAAGGCAGGTCGCCCTCTTGCGATATTGAATATTGAAAACAGTTTGTGTGCGAGGGAAGCGGAGGCTCGAATCCTCCCGGCGGCACGCTGTTTGTAGTAATGAGATCCTTTGTTGCGTCATTCATTTTTCGCCCATAGCCATTGCGAAGATCAAGCCACGCCTCACGGATTTCAGTAGACACTGGAGCACTGCCAAGCTTTCCACACAGATGCGTCCTCGCTCAAAGACCTACCGTCTGCCCGAATCCCACGGGGGGGCTCAAGGTCATCTTCTCTGAACGAGCAGGACATTATCGTACCCGGTGCACACTGTTATGTACCACTGGCAGAGCGATATGCATAAATCGATTCTAATATACGGTATATGTAGATGAAACTTTGCCACCCCTCCGAGATCCCTGCTCATTTATCTAGCCTCCAGTAATGAAGCCGTCGCCTAGATATACCGAATCCAAGCCGAGGGACTCAAGTACAAGTCGGCTTGTTGCCAGCGCACCAATTGCTCGCAGCGCTACCAGAGCAACACTTGTAAGAGGAGATGCGCTTCTGCCACCCTCCACCACAAATCGCGTTAAAGTCGGCAATTGTACCGTCCACCTGAGCGGTGTGATCCCCTTGGCAGTTATAGCTCCTGTAAAAAGATAAGAGATACGAGCAGGGGAAAAGTGGGTATACTTACTCCCAAAAGACACAATTTCCTCCCGAAATTTGAGCGGAATGGGTCTGGTCGTTCGCGGAAGGGTCGACGTCAACTGTGGTAGGAGTGCTAAGTATCCACGGGAGAGATGAGGTGGATAGTACATACGGCACATGCCGTCCGATGGAGCTCCTGTGAAGCAACTGCCGGATAGACTAGTTCCAGTACAGTATTTGACCTGTGTAGCCAGTGTCGGAGACACAGAGACAAAGACGATTGCAAAGAGGGCGAGGAACTTCATTGAGATGATGATACTGCAGAATCGCTCACTGCTCAGTTTTATAGGTACCTCGCTGCGTGATTCCACGGTTTGAGCGGACTGCCATTGAATGCAATGTGGCGGAGCCAAGCCAGCGCCAGACCCGGCCTTCGGTGGCCTCGGGACACGACAACTCAACTGGACAGCCGTAGACAGCGACATACGGCTGCGGCAATATCGGGGATGTTTCAATTGAATTGAATTATGTGCGCTTACATCCTCTGCGATCCTCGGGAGTGGGGCAGACTTTGTATAGGGCCGGCGCACAGTCGCACTTCTCTCTCTCAGTGCTTCCGCCCAGTTGACCAGCTACCTTCTACGCACCCCCAAACGATGCTAAGCCGCAACAGCACTGTTTCCAGCATAGTATTCCCGATTT